TGGTGGGGGTCAGATTAAGAAATGACCACTTTCACCCATTTCAACAGTTGACAAAAAAAATTAAGACTAGAATACTTGAATTAACTCGTTTTTTAAATAATAATTTTAAATATTAATTAAAATGAAAGTAAAAAAGATATATTAACGTAATCACATAAATTTATGTTCTTATAAACACATCTTAAATGTCGCTTCTTTTAAATCTGGAGTAACTTAGTAATGACATAATTGTAGGGTTTTTTTCCATGGGTTTGTATTTAAATATTAGGGTTGTGGAGCTAAGCTAGCTAAGAACGACATTGTGGTTGCAAGTGACCAAAGACTTTTGCTACAATACCATATTGTCGGTTGCTAGTCTCGGGTTTATTCTTAAGTGGTTAGGGTTACTCGAAAATCATAAAAGGAAGGTTTGGACTACCCGGAACGAGTCTATTGTCCCTTCAATTTCCATAATTCCCTTTTGTATTTAAGGCCCCTACTTTCAAATTTTCCAATACAAAGCTTAAGTAACACATGGGATTCAAAATTCAAAGAGTTTGTCGTCTGAGAAGATGGGTAAAAGCAATAAAAGCATAATATATATATATATATATTATCGTGCATGTTTTGTCGTTTCAGACAGAAGGGGCAGTGTACAAAAATGTTGAAGGCTTTGAGGCACTCAATAATAATAATAATAAGAGCTAAAAAAAACAAGAGTCCGACGATAATTGCAAAAGAATTTGGGATGTCCAATAGCTTTGTTTTACAAAATAATTGGTAACACAATGGAATTGAGACATGAGCACATGCACAACCAAACCTAACGTGGGGGGAAAACTCTCTTCAACTTGGACTTTGATATCACCAATTTTGAAATCCCAAACCCTTTCTTCTACTTCATTATCATCTTTGTCCACCACGAACCTAGTTTGTCTCGTTCAAGATACATCATTCATATCCGACCTTGGAACAAAAGTTGAAATCTACTTACTTTGATGTTGGGTAGATGTCAATGCAGTTTTATATTTGTGACATCCCACATCGGTTGGGAGAAGAACAAAATGAAAACCTTAAAAATCTTGTAGAAAAGCTCGAACGGAAGAGTCCAAAAAAGACAATATCTATTAGTGATGGATTTGAACTGTTACAACATCGAAACGTGAGAAGGTAAACCGGTAAATGACTAAACCGGTAAATGACTGGTTTGTCAAAAAAGAAAAGGGGAAGAGGTAGGTTATGATAAATGTTTTGAAAGGATTGTGTTTGTGAGAGTGGAAAGAGTGAGGAAGGGACAGTAATGGTGTGTGGGGTTGTACCCACCATGTACAATGGCTGTCCCCCTGCGCCCTATCTCCCTTGCCTTTTCTCCTTTGGAAATCCCACACCGCCCATTACAACATCGATAATGCAATTCAATGCAATATACACACTCTCACATTCATTTAACTTTTGAATGCTATCCAAGTATCATATTAGCGAGTGTATAAATTCTTCGTTAGTACACATGGTCTGTTTTGGTCTCTTACGTATCACTGTCATATTAGTAATGCTTTGTTCTTCTCTCTAACTAAGGTGGAATTTTATACTGTTTTTTAAAGTCGTAGATATCATATAAACAATAACAATTATCTATAGTAGCACGAGACATTTTAGATAAAATTAAAGTAAAAATGAAGTTAAATTTTGAAAATATACTTCTACGTTGCCATTTGTTTAAAAAATATTCATTATGTTTTAAAAGTTACAAAAACTATTGTTAGAATATAAATTGTTTAGCATCTGGATGAAAATTGGGGCGTACGGATAATAATATTAAATAAAAATTTGAATCACTCCCATTGTTATAGGTTTATGTCACAACATTCAATTCTAAACAAATTATGCATCAAATATAGCTATGAAGTATTTATGAAAAATGAAAAGTAATATAAAATAATATAAGTATTTTTTTTTAATAAATGAAACATAAAAAATTATAAAAACTACTAATGTTGGGGGGGTTAATTTTGAGGGTTTTGAAATAAATAAATAAATATATCTATATATATATATATGGTTGTATGGGTCTGGGGTTTTGTCATAGTGCACGTGAGAGCAGGTTTTGATGATGATGATGATGTGGAGTTTGCTTTAAAAATATCAAACCTTCGTGCATCTCCAATATTCATGCCGCACGTATAGCTTATTACTTATTTACTCATTTACTTAATTACTTATTTACTTATTTACCTTTACAATAAAACTTCGCATTCCCCATTTTAACTAAACTAAAATTACTATTTCCTCCAATTTACTTTCATCTTCTCTCTTCACCATTCATTTTAATTTACCGTTCGTATTTAGACATTATTTTCATAAAAAAAATTAATTTGATAGGTATTAATTTAAAATTTTCTAATTGCTTTCACTAATTAACGTTAACGGGAAATCATGTGCACTCCTTTTGAAGTCATCATAATTAAAATTAGTGCCTAATAATCCAAATTAATTAATTGCTCAATTACTCTTAATTATCTCCCACCCGCTAAATCCAAGGGTCAATTCCTACTCATTGTTTTTAAAGTGCTTATCTACTTAAAATATATTTAAAAATTAGTTGTAAAATTTAACCGCCAACTAATTAATCAACGAAAATTGGTAAATAATATATATATTATATTAAAATATGATGATAGGTGGGCACACGTGTTTGGGGGCATGATTGAATCTCCTCGTGCCCTAAGGCCAAAATGCTGCCCCCATCATTAATTTATCATCATCACATGGACATGCATGTTCCATCATCATATGTACATGCATGGGTTATCACACGTGGACAATATAATACAAATATAATATATAATATATAATATATGGTTTATACATGGTGGCGATGATGAACATGAGAATCAAACACATGATGTGATTAAATTAACGTTGTAATGTAAATAATCTTTGAAAAATTAAAAATTAAAAATAAAATCACATTAAAATTTCATGCCCATCAGTGGATTCTCAAATCTCGATAACGTCGAATCTTTCTTTAAAAAGTGAAAATGTCTAAATCTCCCTTTCGAGATTTTACAAACACATCAATTAAGTCTTTTTTTTTTTTCATTTTAATTCGAAATTAGGAATATATACCCATAAATATATGTATAAATGCATATACTTTATATATATATATATATTATAATATAAGATAAATAATATGATATGATTCTAACTTTAAAAATTAAAAAAAAAATCTCAATATGATTCTTTGATATAGCTTTTTTTTCTTTTTAATATTAAGCTATTGTATAATTAACGATTTAAAGAGATTTTGTAGTGATAAAATAAATATATAATTAATTAGTTTACAATCAACCACTAAACTAATATTAATTACATTATAATAATTATGTAAAACTCATGCTTCCTCAACTAGTTTAGAAAGGGTTTAAAAAGTATGTATTCAACGGAGCTATGTTTGAATTGGTTAAAGTAAAAAATAGATAGATGTTATTTGTAACAAGTAGTTTTGTTGGTTGGTTAATTGGTCGCATTTTATTCATGAGATGAGTTGGATTGATATTAGTCTAGATACAGTAAAATAATTATATTAGATCTAATAATTACCTTGTGTCAGAAGTGAGAAATTCTTATTTATTACCTGTGTCTACTATTTAGGTAGAATACCGTTGCACATTCTTACGAAGAAACTGAAAGAAACGGAGGGGACTAAACAGGAACAAGAGGGATCCACCGGAGAAGTAGTTTTGACGAAAAGGTGTGATGGTAGGGTTAAAAAGGTGATTTTTATTAAGGGAATTGAAGAGGGTGGTGGTTGAATGTTTTCCAAGTAGGGAAAGCAACAAAATGTTGGGTTAAAAATTCTCACATCCCCATCAAAAACATTTATGTATATGCTCAGTGGGCACATGGTTGGCCTACATATATATCAAAGGGCTAATGTCCCTTTAGGGTATACCATCCATTTAAGAGATACTTAAAAATGGAAAAAGGGAACTATTTGAAGGACCCATTCCCCCTTTCATCGTCCTCTCATTAATTAAGTATTTTATTATAAAAAAAAAATACGAAAATATGGATTAATTAAAGGTTAATCATGATTATTACAAGAAGTATAGGCCATAAGAGGAGTTTAATCAAGCAAAAAACGCCATTAATGGCCATAATCTCTTGTTGTTCTTCTTCCCTAAAATGAGCAGAAAGGGAAAGGAGAAAGAAGTGGGTAAGGTGTCATAATCATGATGGTTCTGTGTCATTGTTGTATTATTCTTTGCTTCAAGAAATTACTATATAATAAATAAAAGAATTTACTGTGGTATGCCCAAAACCTCTTCATCTCAACCCTCTGCCCTTTCACTTATGGGACCATCTCCTTCCATATTCCATCAAACCCCATTTTCAAGGGTTTCAGTTTTTACTCACACCGCAGTAAAAATATTTATGGAGCAATACCCAATAGGGTTTGCTAAGTAAGTAAGTAAGTGCTTAGTAGGTTAAAACAGGCTTTACTCACAACGTGTTTTTATGTTTAAGGTTAAGAAAAAAGCTTAGTGCTGTCAAGCTGATGGTCGGAGATGGCGGCGCGTGGGTTGAGGAAATGAGAAGGCGCGTGAGAGGGAGAGGCAGGGTACATAGCAAAGGCAACCAAGGGATAATGGATAATGGAGGAGAATAAATTTTAGGGTGGGAGAAATTACGTTAATAATATTATTATAATTTTGTACGGATTTTTTTTGGTTATTACATCAATTAAAATGATAAATTAATGATTTTTATATGTGTATATATTATAAAAATGAAGAGTTTAAATGGTTTAAAATTTGGCAAGAAAATAAAAAAAAAAAAAAAGGAAAGGGGGGGAAATGGTTTTGATGGTAACACTGTTTTGTAGGCGTAGGCTTGCGCTCTCATACGTCGCTGTCAGTCATAAAGTTTTAAGGGAAAGCAGAAATCTTTCTCTTTCTCTTTCTCTCTCGGGCGGGAAAACATTAATAATGTATAAAAGTAACGAAAAAAAACAGAGCTCTAAGCTTCTCTCTCTTAATTCTCTCTCTCTCCCATCACCATTACTTCGCTTTCATCTCTCTCTCTCTCTCTCTCTCTCTCCCACCGCCAGAGAGAAAGGTGTTGATACCATACCATACCATACTTCATCATCTTCTTCCACTGTCTGCACTGCTTGTCTGTCTCCCTGTCCCTTCCCCTCTCAATTTCACACCATTTTTCTCTCATCCTCTTCCCAAATAAAACGCAACCCATTTCCCCAAATTCGATCTTTTCAATTGGGTCTCTCTCCGTTTTCCATTTGGTACACAAATCATGCCTTTCTCCATCCGGTAAGTAACCACCTCCTCGTCTCTTTATTAACTGCCTACCTATGTTTTTATCGAGTTTTTTTTTTCTTCTTCTTCTTGTTAGAGAGTATGCTTTGAATATGAGAGGCACGGATTTAAAGAGAAGCTGGCCGTTTAGCGAGAACGTGAAGAAAGAAGTGGCACAAGCTTTGCTCCCACCAATGGATGTCAGGAAATTTCGTTGGTGGTCTCATCAACAAACTGATTGTGGAGGTGTAGTGGAGGAGAAGGAGGTTGTTGTTGTTGACAGAATTCAAATGCAGAAGATTTGTCCGGTTTGTGGGGTTTTTGTTGCTGCTACTGTCAACGCTATGAATGCTCATATTGATAGCTGTTTAGCTCAAACCACTAAGGAAAGGCCAAGGAATAAAGGAGGAGGAGGAGGAGGAGGAGGGGCAAAATCAAGAACGCCTAAAAAGAGATCAATTGCAGAAATCTTCGCAGTGGCTCCGCCTGTAAAAACAATGATTATTGGTAATGATTGTGAGGAGGGAGAAAAAGGCATTGGGAAGCAAATGATTCGAGACAAGCTCAAAGCTACATCGTTGGCTAGGAGTCTTGTCTCTGCAATGAAGACAATCAAGGCGAAGAACACCAGAAATGAAGAAGAAATGAGGAGGAGGAGGAGGAGGAGGAGGAAGAAGAAGAAGAAGAAGAATAAGGTACATGCCATTTTCTTTGATTTTAAACGGTCCTACTACTACAATGGGGGGAAAACTGTAAGCTTGTGAGAATTTTGTTTAGGCTGCAAATATTCTCTCCCATTGGGGGGTTTTTTGTTTTTGGTACCTCCTTTCTCTTTCTGCTCATAATTACTGCTGGAAAAAGCTGGTGAAAAGACTGCATTACGTTGGAGAGAAAAAGAGAGAGAGGAGAGAAAAAAAAAAAAAAAAAAA